GAGTATGATCCTTCAGGGTAAAAAATGGTCATTCAGTGAAATAGGGGACTTTCAAGCATTCCTGTGAAGATAAAATTTGACCTTCAAATACAATACTCAAGTGAAATATGGAAGACGTAAACAGGGAAGAGAAATCATAAGAGATTTATTAAGGCTGACCTGTTTATATTCCTGCGGGGAAAGATGATATTTGTAACTCATGAGTCCTTTGTTAGTATTAGGGTAGTGGGAGGGAAAAAAATTATATATGTGTATAGATAGATAGATGGATAGAGGGCACAGGGTGAGTTGAAGATGAAGAAATGATATCTGGAAAATAAAATTAAGGGGTGAGAGAGGATTATACTGGGAGAAGGAGAAAGGGAGAAGTAGAATGAGGTAAAATATCTCAGACAAACAGACAAGAAAAGGCTTTTACAGTGAAGGGGAAATGGGGAAAGGTGAGAGGGAATGAGTGAATCTCATTCTCATAGGATTTGGCTTAAGGAGGGAATAACATACACAATGGGGTATGGAAATCTATCTTACCCTACAGGAAAATTAGGGGAGAAGGGGACAAGAGAGCAGGGGTTTGATAGAGGGGAGGGCAGATTGGGGTAGGGGATAATCAGAAGCAAACACTTCTGAGGAGGGACAGGGTCAAAAGAGAGAGTAGAATAAATGGGGGGTAGGATAGGATGAAGGGAAATATACTTAGTTTTTCACAACAGGATTACTGTGGAAGTGTTTTGCATGACTATACATCTATAGCCTGTACCGAGATGCTTGCCTTTTCAATGAAGGTGGGTGGGGAGGGAGGAAGGGAGAAAATTTGTAACCCAAAGCTCTAAAAACACATGTTAAAAATTAAAAAAAATTTTAAAAAATTTAAAAAGTACAATGGCCAACACTGGACCTGAACTCAAAAGACTTGGGTCCTAGTCCCATTTCCAATACTAACCAGCCATTGGACAAGTCTCTTCCCATTCTGGGCTTCAGTTTTCTCATCCATAATAATAATTTATTAACATGAGCAGTCCCAAAGATTTTTCTAGACCATGAGTTTCCACGCCAACACAGGGATGACCCAGAACTACCTTCCTACCTTCAGCTATATTTTGTTCTCTCTCCCACCATACCTCGTAGTTTGCAAGATACTCAGTTGTCTGTTCCCTACCTCCCAACCACGTCATCTTTTCTCCTGGTTTCTTCTATCTAGAAGAATACAGTAGATATTGTATCTATCTATGCTGGCATAGATACAATACCCTCCATTCTTAATTGGCTGGGTTACTTCAACTTCATTGGTTTTTTACAAAAACCAATATTCTGGAATCCAAAAGAGAAGGGCCACCATGACTCCCTACATACTGACTGCTTCAAAAAAAAAAAAAAATCAGGCAGCCTCCTAGTCATGGCACTGGTTTCTAACTGTGATAACCAGATGTTGCCCTGAATTTTCCAAATAATTTTGGGGGGTGGAGAAAGACAAACAGACACTTACTTGAACCTTCTTTCCTTTGACATTTGTCTAACTACCTTGCCTCCTTCTGACCTAGGTTGTCCTCCCCAATCCTATCCCCACTGATCCAATCAAAAATCACCATTGTATTCTGGATAAAGTCTACACTGAATAGGATTAGGGAACTGCCAGAGCCATACTGAAGCTGACTCCACATAATAACACAAATTCAAACAAGCATCACATCCTAGATTTTGTGAAAAAGCAGTTTTGTTCCCTGGTTCTTAAGTTTCTCTGCCAATGTAAGTTTTGAAAATCATAGGGCCTGCCTGGGTTTGAACCCCAGCTCACTATTAACCATCTATGTAACTTTGGGCAAGTTATTTCCCTATTGGTGGCTTCAGTTTCTGTATCTGTAAAAGGAGGTTGGAAATAAATAAGTTAGGGTCCCTTCTAGATCTAATGTCTACATTTTCCTCATAATAAATCCATGGTTATCTCACATATAAAAAAATTGATGAGGAAATAGGATTACAGAGTTTGTGACCTAATAATCACCACTGACATTTATAGCAACTTTATTTAGGTTTACAACATACTTCACATACTCTTATTTAAGCTTCATAATCTGTCAGATGAGAATTGTGGACATTATTATCGTCATTCTACAGATGAGCAAATGGAGTACTTGCGTATGGTCACACAGTTAAGTGGAAGTTGAATTCGGATCTTCTTGACTTCAAGTCTAGCTCTCTTTTAACCATGCCATGTTCTTAGTCACAACTAGAGTGCCTGAGGTCATATAATTAAGTGGCATCACTATGACTCAAATCCAGGTCTTCTGATCTGAAATCCCATGGTTTCTACTATGCATTTCTACTATGCATTTTCTGAATGCAAAGCTTGCAACTCTTCTGAGACTGAAAATATACCTTATGTAGGGAACTGACATGGATTTATAACAACAAAGACCATTCCTCAATAGATAAATGGTCAAAACGTTTGCAAACTAGTAAGGGGTACCTACCTATGAATTTTGGAATGCTCCAAATCACTAATAATAAGAAACACAAATCAAAATGAATAGGAGATTTTACTTCATGTGCATCTTTTAGGAGAGATGACAAGAGCTGGAAATAGTCAATTTTGGAAGAAAAACAGAAAAAATAGGCCTATCAACACATTGTTGGCAGAGTTTTAAAGTGGTTCATCCATTCTGGATATCAATTAGTAATCATGCTATAAGTGACCAAACTATATATGCTCTTTGACCTAGTAAACTCACTACTGGGGTACCCCAGAGAGGTAAAAGACAGAAACAAAGGTATAACATACACCAAAATATTCATGTCACTCTTTGGGATAGCAAAGAATGATAAAACAAAGGTGGAGGGGGGGGCGGTATACCCATCAGTTGGGAAACAGCTGGAAAAAACAGAGATACTATGAGAATGTAACAGAGTATTATTTTCTATAATAAGTTTATGTGAAAGTTGGAAAAATATGAAAAGAGGTATGTGAACTGATGCAGAGTACATTAAGCAGAACCAAGAAAATGCATAATGACAATAAAAAAGTAAAATAAAGAGCACTAAAGGGAAATCAAGCTATAAGTGAAAGAAAACCTAGTAGAGGAAAAACATGAAGATTCCACAAAAGAGATAATAAAATATATATACTCCCTCAAAAGAAAGAGAGCCTGGAGATGGGACTAGATAGAAAATAGAATATTTTCTATCAGATATGGTCTCTGTATCAGGTATTTCCACTTGTTTTTGTCACAAGGGAATACATGTAATAGGAAATGACTGATGTAAAGGTGAAAGGAATCAATAAATTATGTATATCTTTTAAAAAGTTTAACTGGTTGGTTAGTAGTTTAAAAAAAAATTTCTCCCTTCCGTAAGGAAGCACATAGAATTAAGAGTCATACAATCTCACATTCATTCAAGTTCCTGTATGGGAACCTTAGCTGATCATTGATAAATAGAAACTAGAAGGGAGACCATCTAACCCAAAACTATTATTTTTTATAGATAAGGAGACTGTGCCAAGAGAGCCAGAGACATCTGAGGCAGAGACAAGCCTAGAACTAGAATCTAGGCTTTTCCCTGACTTCTACTTCAGCTAGCCCACACCCTTTGCAATATGCCAGTCTTGCTAGCTATAATAGTCTATTAATAGTCTATAAACACCTTAAGGGTAAGGGATAGGGTTGCCTTCTTTTATGCTTCTCTCAATCTAAGACAAGGTTTGTCACTAAGTACTCCATAAAAAACTTGATGAGTACAGGACTTGGAGTTAGGAAACCAGGGTTTTAACCTGACCTCAGACATTTACTAGCAATGATGACCACAGGCAAGCTACTTAACCTTTCTCATCTGTTAAAATATGATGATAATACCTATACTGCCGGCATCACAGAATCTGAGGAATGTGCATAGCAAGCCTCAAAGCATGAAGTAAAATGCTACTATTGTTTTTAGTTGATGGAAATAAACTTGAGGATAGAGAATTATGTCCCAAGATGATGACAGAGTCGTCACCCAGCAACGTCTCAAGGCCCCTTCAATAAAATGATATCCCTGGCCTGTGGTAGGCCTACATCTGGTAGGCATGTCTGACCTCTCTGTGAGTATTTCCCATAAAATGCATCCCTAATTGTAATTTGTAACTCAGAAATTACTAGAGACGGGAAAACCAGGGACCTAAAGTCTGTCATATGGAGGACAGAGAAATTAAGAGGTAACTTTCTATAGTTTTTTATTCCTGTTCCTCACAACAAAACTTAAGGGGAAGAGCTACTGCAAAAATTATTATAGATCTGCAAAAATGTAATTCTAGAGAGTCTATAATTTATGTGATAGCTAGGTGGTGCAGCAGATAGAGTGCCAAGCCTGGAGTCAGGAAGACTCATGAGTTCAAATCTGGCCTCAGACACTTCCTAACTGTATGACCTTGGGCAAGTCACTTAATCCTGCCTCAGTTTCCTCATCTGTAAAATGAGTTAGAGAAGGACATGGCACATCACTCCAGCATCTTTGCCAAGAAGGAGGTTTTCTCCAAGTGGGGTTGCAGAGTTGAAAACGACTAACATAGTTTATGTATTATTCTTGGTTCTGCTTAATTTTCTCTGCATTGGTTCACACAAATATTCCCTTTTCTCTGAATTCATTTTACAATGAGAAAATTGAGATGCAGACAGATTTAAACAACAAAGCCAAACCAAACACTTGCCCAACCAAGGTCACATAGCCGTCCTAGGATTCCAAGTCAGATTCTATGACTTTGAGTATAGTATTTTTCCTCTCTACCATGGAAAGAGGTAATATTACGTATAAAAAAAACCATTTAGTTTAAGTGACTTGCCCAAGGTTACAAAGACATTAAGTGTCAGAGGCAGGATTTTAACTCAGGTCCTCTGACTACAGGGCTCTCTCCACTGTATCATTCCACCTCCTTATAAAACAATAATATCAAAAACAACAATAACACTTATACTCCATGCTTAAGTTTGCAGAGTGCTTTATAAGTATCTCATTTAATTCTCACAATAACTGTGGGAAGTAGGTGCTGTTACTGTTCCCATTTTTGAGATAAAGGAACTAAACCAGATAGTAGTTAAGTGACTTGCCTAGAGTCAAACACTAGAATGTGTCAGATATAGGATTTAGACCCAGGTTTTCCAGACACCATGTTTAACACTCTGTCCACTCCATCCTCTAGTTCTATAAAATGGGGATAATAATCCCTGCCCTGCTGCCTGTCTCCCTTGAGGTGTCAGGAGGATAAAATAAAATGCTGGATGTGAGAACATTTCATAACGGTGATTATTATTACATTTAGTAGAATTGGCTATGGTCCCTTCTAATTCTCAAATTCCCTAGGGCTTCCCCATGGGGGTCTATTTGCAAAATGTCCCTCATCCCCAGCTCTGGTGATAGCCTTTTGCCCTACCCCACTGCCAGGGCTTACCTTCACAGGAGAAGTGAGGGGTATATTGGCCTTGGTCTCCATGCCAATGGTTACTTCTCCAGGGATGCTGATAGGAACTGGTTCTACCTCCAGGCTGGTGATCACTACTGGATCATGCCCACCATCACAGTTTTCCCATGAAAAATCACTGACCTGAGATATGGGTAAAGCATTGGTTGGAAAGGAAAACAAGAAAATTATAACAAACTCTCAAAGTTTTTTTTGCCTCATACTTCCAACCAGTCATTTTCAACCTCTGAATCCAATCACCTCTGAAACCAAGTTTTATCTTGCATCCAAAGCCTTTTGTGATCTATTCCCTTTGCTTCACTCACACCTCAAATACAAGATTTTCTCATCTCTCAAATACATACCCTCTACAACAGTTAGGCTAGACTTTCTTCCCTGAACATACCAGCTTTTCCCCCACAATTGCTCAGGTGGTTCCCCCAATAACCCTTTCTGCCTATCTATTCTTCAAGGCTGAGCTTAATTCCTCTCTCCCCCAAGAAATATTCCCTGTTGCCAATGAACCAGTGAGCACCTATAGCACCAAAGTTTAGCACTTGTTCCATAATTGCCTTCTGAGGACACATTAAATACCTCCTTTTTAGTATCTTTAGGAATAACAAAAAATAATATATCTTTGCTCTTAAAAGCCCTTTCCAGAATCCATGGGAAAGCCCCTAGAAACAATAAAAGGTTAAAATGTAAAAATAAAGTTTGGGTAAACATTGTTGAGTAACAAAGCTCTTCCTGGGACTCCAACCTTCATCCCTTTTCCAAAGGCACATTCCCAGAATAAACAAAAAGACCTTACTCCTGGGATCCTTCATCAATGAAGAAGGATGGGTGAAGGCATCAGTGGGTGAGGAGGCAATAATGTAAACAAAGAGTTAACTTTGCTAAAAGGCTGAGAACCAACTTTAATCATTTCCCTAAGAAAAATCTTTTTGTCAAGGTTCAAAATCCCTTTAAATCATGTAAGGGGCAGAAGGTATGAAGGACCAGGCCAGTTTGGACATCTCTTTCCTTAAAACTCAAAATGGCTTTCCAAAAGACAAGCTTAAAAACTCAAGAGTACAGTATTAGTATTTATATTTTCTTCTATACTTATGGGCCCTAATTATAGCATAGAAGGTCAGACCTGAAAAGGGTCTTAGAAATTCCAACAGGGAAGGAAAATGAGGCCCAGAGAAATGAATTAACCTAACCAGATTGAGGGTAGGGTTTGTCTTATAGCTCTTCTAATTTACTGACCATGCCTTTAAGAATAAAGGCAGGGACAGCTAGATAGTGCAATGGATAGAGCACTTGCCATGGAATCAGGAGGGCCTAAGTTCAAATATCCAGCCTTAGACACTTAGTAGCTGTGTGACCCTGGGCAAGTCACTTAACCCTGACTGCCAAAAAAAAAAAAAAAAAAAGAGGCAAATACTGTATTAGCCAAATATAGCTTTCTATGTTACGAGTATAAACCCTATGTCTTATCATGGTCTAGGAGTTGTAACTGTCCTACTCCCAGAATTTAGTTTAATTAGGGGCGTAAAACAAGGACAGACACTCACAAATATAATAGCATGAAAAGATGGGTTATAATAAGAACCAGGGGCAGCTAGGTAGAGCAGTGGATAGTGTCGGGACTACAGTCATGAAGACTCATCTTTCCCGAATTCAAATCCAGCCTCAGACACTTACTAACTGGAAAGTTAATGTTTAATAGAATAGGGAGTGGTTAAGTATCAAGGGTCTGCTAAATAGCAGGCACTATACTAAAGCGCTTTACAAATATTTCATTTAAACTTCACAATGACACTGTGAGGAAGGTATTTTTATACCTACTCTATAATTGAGGAAACTGAGGCAAACAGAAGTTAAGTGATTTGCCCAGGAAGGGGCAGTTAGGTGGTGCAGTGGATAGAGGCACCCAGCCTGGAGTAAGGAAGACTCAACTTCCTGAAATTCAAATCTGGCCACTTACTAGCTATGTGACCTTGGGCGAGTCATTTAACTCTATTTGCCTCTGTTTCTTCATCTGTAAAATGAGCTGGAGAAGGAAATGGCAAACCACTCCAGTATCTTTGCCAAGAAAACCCCAAATGGAGTCACAAAGAGTTGGCCATGACTGAAAATGACTGAACAACAACAATAGAGCCAGGAAATATCTATGGCTGAATATGGCTTGAACTCAAATTTTCATGACTCCAACTACTGGAAGTTACGAAGTTCAACTACTGTAGTAACTACCTGTGTGAGAAAACTTATGTGGGCCTTAAAATATATTAAAGATTGTAATGGGAAAAAGGAAAAGACTTAGCTTATACAATGGAAAAAGCAGTGTCTCTGGAGTCAGGGTGAGGTGATGGTGGTGAGGTCCATTTCTACACCCAGCTCCATGATCCGATAAACCCTACCTCTTCTTGGCCCTAGAGAACAGAACTAGGAACTACAGCAGGTAAAAGGTTCAGAGAGACAAAATTTGGCTCAAAATAAGCAAGTCTGTTAATAAATGCTATCCAAAAATGAAACGGGTTATCTCATAGAAGGTTTTCAAGAAGGGATAATGAACACTTATCAAGGATGTTGCTGAGGGGGTTCCTAATCAGGTTTGGGTCAGGTTACATACTTCTATAGCCTCTCCTTCAAGGTCCCTCTCCTATTAAAGCCTTCTTCCCTCTTCCCCCATTCCCCATCCCCACTTGATGATCTCAGAACCACAAGATAAAGTGTCAGTTTGGGGCTGAGATGCTGATAGTTCTACCAGGGAAGCAAATATAGTATGATTAAATGGGAAGAGTTAGTCTTGTCTTTTGCAGGGATCCTGGGGCCTCTATCTCTGTAGGCAGCAGAAGGCTCCTGTCCTGTCCTATTTATACTACACCTTGGAACCTGGCCTTATGAATAAGCAATGGATCCAAGGAGGCCAGAGGCAGTGCGGTATAGTGGAAGGCATGCTGGATTTGGAGTGAGGAGAAACTGGATTCAAATCTTTGTCTCTGAACTTAGTTTTCTTCATCTATAAAATGGGCAACATCATCTATAGTACCTATTTCACAAGGTTATTCTCTAGATCAAACACAAATATTTTACAAACCTTAAAGTGTTATGTAAATAGCAACTATTTTATCACAAAGAGTTGCAATTGTGTGACTTGAGGTTAAGTCACAGGACTTCTCTAGGCCCTGATGAAATCTCTTGTTATCCCTCAGATCTCTAAGAAAAGATTTCATGATTTCCCCCTTCCTAACAAAGGCAACATAAAATCTAGCCTTTCTACCACACCAAGCGGCCTTCCTGGTTTGGACAAGTCTGGCTTAAGTATCCTGTATTGCTTGTTTGAGAATGGAATATTAGGGGCCGAGAGTTGGCTGTTTATAGGGCACTGGCCCTAGAATTGAGTTCAAATCCGGCCTCACACACTTACTAGCCATGTATGACCTTGGGCAAGTCACTTAACCCTGATTCCCTTCCCCCACCCCCCCCAAAAAATGAAATATTAAGTGGAATTTCTGTGATGCTTTAAGATACAAGATATTTCCTCCATGATAACTTTGTGAGAAAGGTATTATCAGGTTTGGGGGTTTTTTTAATACCCATTTTACAGATGAAGAAACTGAAGCTCAGAAAGTTATCATGATTTATCCAGGGTCACATAATCAAATTAGCAAGTGTCAGAGTGGGATTGGAACCCAGGTATCTCTGGACTCCAAGTCCAGAGCTCTTCTTATAACACACTGTCTCTCTCAAGACTAAGAAAAGCCACCAACTCCAGACTGGGAAGATGAATGACTCCCCTGCCACTATTTCCCTTTCCCATCAGTTAGTTACAGCTTCAGGTACCAGGTACAAGAGATCAGGGAAAAATTTGGGCAAAATTTGAGGGTACAGAGTACTGGGCATCATTCAGGGACTCAGAACTCCTTGCCCTGGAAAAGTCTAAAAAGTACAGACAGGGGTGTACTGGTTTTTAAAGATTTAATAATCTAAGAACAGTTAAATGACTTGTCAATGGCTACCAAACAATCTGACAGTAAAATGAGGTGTTTCAGAGCAGAACTTTGTGTTTTTTCCTTAACAAAAATGAAAAACCACAGCATAGCACAGTAAAAAGAAAATTGACCTGGAAGGCAGGAGAGGTTGGTTCTAATCTGGCCTCTGCTATGTGTTGCCTTGAATAAGTCATTTACCCTTCTTTCTACTTCAGTTTCCCCTCTCTAAAGAGAGGGGGCTTGAAATAGATGATCTGAAATTCCTCTCAGTTTTAATATTCTATGGTCTAAGATTCTCCATTTTATGATAAGAAATGAAGGATTGTTTGGGAAAGAGTGGGGGAGAATTTATATGGGGGAAAGGAGGAAGGAAGCCATCCCCACAAAGGAATGGTGAACTGTCTGGATCTTCATTCCTGCCGCCCTTCCCTTTATGTATCATATGCTTGGGGCTTTCCAGAGTCCCCCAAGAAAGAAAAGGAGAGCTCATATTGGTTCCCCTTGGAAGGTCTGGGGCTTTCCAGAGTCCCCCAAGAAAGAAAAGGAGAGCTCATATTGGTTCCCCTTGGAAGGTCTGGAATCCCAAAGCCAAGCTATTGAGTTTAAATAGTCGGACCCCTAGCTCCCTCGGTGAACATCTACAATTAGTATATCTCAGTCTAAAGTATACTACTGGTCTAGGAGCCAAGAACAGTAAACTCGACCTGATGCTGCCACTTTTCTCTGTGCGGCCCTAGGCACATCATAGGATTTTAGAACTGGAGGGTCTCAGTGATCAGCCTCCAAGAAGCCTATCTCACTGACGAAGGCAATGGATGTTCAGAGAGTTTAGGTGACTTGACCAAAGTCAACAGCCCGTTTTCCTCGTTTGTTAAATGGGAGGGTTGAAGTATGCCACCTGTGAGGTCCCTTTCAATTCTATGATCTTTAGTAAGGGAGGAGACCTAAGATGAGATACTTCGGCCCAGAGTCTTACCCGGGCCGGGGCAGGAAGTAAGACTGTGTGAGGGTGCTGGAGATGGGAATTCTACCTCTACCTAGCCCATCCTTCAATCAGCACTGAGGACGGCCCGCCCCGGTTCCTTCCACACATTCCCCGCAGTCAGACACCCCTTCCCCCAACATCCATTCTCCCGAGGGGGCGAGGGATGTAGCCCCGCGGAGCAAGGGTGAAATAAGGAAGAGGAGCCCCACGTTCGGCCACTCACCTTGCTCAGACGCAATGAACCCTTGTCAGCGGCAGCAGGCCACGGCAGAGACACGACCAAAAGCACACCTAGAACTAGGGACTTCATGGTGTCTGACCGTCAGCAGATGCAGGTAGCAGCCCTCGGTTCGCTCCTTTAAGGGTTGCAAGGGGGAGGGCTAATGTTCGCCCCGCCCAACGCCCCGCCTCCCCATGCCAGATTGCAGCATTCCCGTGGCGTGGGGCTGCTAGTATCTGGGCTTGCGTCCTGGAAGCTCCACCCCTTCCCTGACTTCACAAACAGAGGTCAGCCGGAGCTGGAGTGCCTGGCGCGAGACAGACACTGAGAGATTGTAATCGCCAACCTCTCTCCTTGGGGGCAAGCCGAGACTGGAGGGCCACAGGTTCTGGAAAGGGAACGAGCGATTTGCATCCATTACATTTTTTGACCTTCATAGCCAACCCTATAGGGGTAAGTCCCCACGGGTTAATTACTTTTTCCCATTTAAGTATATTATTAGAGAGGTGGCTTGCCCACTGTCCCATGGCTTCGTATCCGAGCCTCTTCTTACATCACGTTATTACTTTACTATATTCTTAAGTTCTTAGTTACAAGGATCCTGGCTGACGTTCTCAGATTCTACGAGCTTTTTTTTTTTTTTTTTGAAAGGATGGGAAATGAGAACGGAACTAGAAAGAATAGATGGGTGAATGATGAAAACTGAATACTTGTGGCACTGGCTGCTTTGACCAGCCTTAGGTCAGTGTATTTGTTCTCTTTCCCTACCAACCCTGTTACTCAGTCTGTCATCCCTGAGCTGGGTGGCATGCCCCTTCACGTCCACTGCTGGGTGACCTTGGCTCATAAATTCATAGCAGGATCAGATCCCACTGGAACAACAAAGCATCACTTAAGGCTATGAGAATAATTCCCTGGAAACTAAGTGGGAGAAAGGTTAACAATCCCCTGCAGCAAAGCACCTCTCGGTTAGTACACACCAACTGACATTTAGGAAGCCTGGAAACGACAAGATTAGGCATCTGAAGAATGTGCGTAGAATGCTAGAACCAGAAAAGAAAGGACTTTGGAAATCAAATAGTGCAACAGGTAGAAAGTGAGGCTCAGAGAAGGAAAAGAATGTTCTCTACATCTAAATAAATATATTCTTTTCACCAGTTTTCAAAGAACTTTCTTATATGTTGTGTCTTTTAAGAGGCGGCATAGGGTAGTGGCTAGAGTGCTCAGCTTGGAGTCAAGGAGGCTCAAAGCCCACCTCAGACACCAGTAGTATGACCTTGGACAAATTTTTTAACTCAGAGTTTGTTTCAAGGAGTTATTGGAGAATAGTGAATAGGGGCAACTAGGTGGCACAGTGGATAAAGCACCAACCCTGGAGTCAGGAGGACCTGAGTTCAAATCCTGTCTCAGACCAGATACTTGACACTTACTAGCTGTGTGACCCTGGGCAAGTCACTTAACTCCAATTGCCTCACCAAAATAAAAAGAGAGAGAGAGAGTAGTGAATAGACAATTGGCCTCAGATCCAGAAATCGATAGGTTCAAGTTCCACATTCTAGCTGTATGAACCTGAGAAAGTTACTAACTACCCTGGACCTTAGTTCCTTCATCTGAAAAACAAGGAGGTTGGTCTAAATGACCTCTGAGATTCCTGTAGATCTGTGATCATCAACTGAAAAGTGGGGATAATATTTACATTATGTATTACCTCACAGGGTTGTGGTGACCCAAGTACTTTGCAGAACCTCAAAGCACTTGAAATGTAATTCACTGATACTCACAAAAGTCCTGTGAGGTCATTTTGTTTTTTGGTGAGGCAATTTGGATTCAGTGACTTGCCCAGGGTCACACATTTAGTAAGTGTTATGTATCTGAGGCCAGATTTGAACTCAGGTCCTCCTGAGTCCAGGGCCAGTGCTCTATCCACTATACCACCTAGCTGCCCCTTGTGAGGTCATTTGGGTAGATATTATTACTCTCATTCCACAAATGAAGTAACCAAGGCCCAGAGAAGTTATTTGTTTTAGTGGAAAGAGCACTGAATTTGCTACTTTTCCAAGTCTTGGATTCTTCATTTGCAAAATGAGGTGAGGGCGGGTAGGGGGGTAGGGGGGAGGTGGAATATATGAGATTGTAAAATTCTCTTTTAGTCCTAAGTCCTATGTTCTACAACTTGTCCAAAATTATATGACAGCATAGGGAGGGGGCGTAGACATTTGAAGCTCTGACATATCTCCTGGACTTTGCCCTGATGGCTTGACTTCTTGGGGACAGGCTGGTTGTCCTGAGTCTGAGGAAGAATGTAATTTACTTAAACCGCTTCTCCCCTTGGCCTCAAAATCTTGTGCTCCATTCTTTCCTGGAAGGCTGACTGTTATTTGTTTAGTGTCCAGAGACCTTAGAGGTGATCTAGTCAAGCCTGGACTTTACCAAAAAAAAAAAATCCACTTACTCTTATCTGTTGAGCTCAACAAGATAGATTCCAAAAGAGATTTAGACTCTCTGGAAATCTAGCAACACAATAAAAAACCAAGAATTATCCATCAATCAGAATTGGGCCTATCTATTCCTCCCTAGCTCTAGCCTGCCTTTCCAGATTTATTTCACAGTATTCTCTTTCTCCCTCTGTTTAGTACCATCATACCCAACATTCCACCTCTCCTATCCAGGAAGATTGTACTCTGTTTCTGGAAGGTGGTCCCTGTTTATCTCTACACTCTACCCCGTTGCCATTGTTCAGTTCTGTCACGACTCTCTGTGACGCCATTTGAGGATTTCTTGGCAGATACTGTAGTAGTTTGCCATTTCTATCTCCCGCTCATTTACAAATGAAGAAACTTAGGCAAACAGGGTTAAGAGACTTGCCCAGAGTCACACAGCTAGTAAGTATCTGAGGGCAGATTAATCTTCCTGATTCCAAGCCCAGTACTCTAGCCACTGCACCCTAGCTACTCCCTAGAATCCCTAGCTTCCTTCAAAGCTCAGCTCCAATAGTGCCTTCTACAGGAATCCTACCCTGATCCCACCAATTTACTGTTGCCCTCCTGACCAGAAATTACTTTGTGTCTACTTTGTATTTATTTTTCTGATACAGATTTTCACCTTCCCATCTCTATCCCCAGCTGTTAGAATGTAAAATCCTTGAAGGCTGAGAGAGGTGAGGAACCTGCAGGTTCCACACCCCTGACTGAGACTGTTTTTGTCTTTGTATGCTTTGTGTCTGGCCTGAAATATAGATGCTTGTGGATTTGAAAGGGTGAATGGCACCAACTCATTGGCCTGATTAGGAAACCTAAGACTGCCTTGGGGTTAGGGCCATTGACTCCACCAAAAACTAGGCTCCCTTTATTCTTGCTGTCTTCCAAACCAGCAGGTTTCACCCTCCTGGTCCCTTTGTGGTCACTACCACCCTATTAGACTCACATCATTGAGTGTTCAAGCTCCATTACCAAAGATTTTTTCTCAGATTTCAGATCCTTGAAGATAAGAAGCTACCAACCTGCAAAATCATATGGTTGGAGAAGAGGGGAAGGAAAGAGGTACAGGGAAGTCCTGGAAAAAACAAGTATGAGGCAGTGTAATGTATTGACCAATACAGATTCCTACAAAATTCTGTGGATAAATCATATGGTTGGGGGAAGGAGAAAGGAAGCAGGTACAGGGAAACCCTGGAGGGGAAAATGTGTGAGGCAGTGTAATGTATTGGCCAATACAAATTCCTACAAAACGGTCTGGATAAATCTTATGGTTGGGGAAGGGGAAAAGGAAGCAGGTACAGGGAAGCCCTAGGGGAAAAAAAAGTGTGAAGCAATGTAGTATATTGGCTAATACAGATTCCTACAAAAGTCTCTGGTTGGGGGAGGTGGAAAGGCCCAGGACTGGAAGGTAGTCAGAGTGCATTCTAATCTTAGCTTTGACATATTCAATGTATGGCCTGCCTTGGGCAAATTAATTCATTTTTCTGAGAGTCAATTTCTCACTAGGACAAGGAGAACTGGATTATATAGTCTACAACAACCCTTCCAACTCTATTTTTCTATGGTTTATATCCAGAGGTACTATCCAGCTCTGATGTTTTATGTTCAATTCTGCAAACATTGTGCCTACTATATGTAATGAATTGTGCTCAGTGTTGGGGAATAAAAGATGAAAAATGCCGTAATCGTTGCCTTCAGAAAGCATAGTCCATGAGGGGGTATATGGCATGTACACATATAAGTGTAATTCAAGGTAGAAGGTAGTCGGAGCAAAAGAGAAGTCCAGACAAAACATGAGAAAAATTTGAAAAGGAGGCTCCAGACTCACCTCAGAAGCAGCAGCAGCAAGAGTGCACCCCACCTGAAGTCCTCTGCCCCAGGCACGAGTCTCTGGGCTTCCTGCTTCTTTAAGTGAAGTGTCAGAAAGTAGGCAAAGGTGAAGAACTGCCACCAAAATGATCTCGCTAAGCCCATCTACCTCAACTTCCTGAGCTACAAGGCTGATACGGCTCCCATTGTTTGGGAAGTGAACAAGCCTGGATCCCAGGTGAACAAATAGGAAGCGGTGTAGGTGGTTGCCATTGTAGAGATGTTTCTTGTGTTCACTGTAGACATAGTGGGATAGAGAGAGAGAGAGAGAGGGAGGGAGGGAGAGAGAGAGAGAGGGAGGGAGGGAGGGAAGGGGAGAGAGGGAGGGAGGGAGAGGGAAGGGGAGAGAGGGAGGGGGAGAG